GGGGGGCAGCCGGATCGGGTTGCAGCAGGAGCCTGCGCTCGCAGCCCAGTGTGGACCCTGCGGCCCCGGCTCCCGAGCAGCCAGCGGAGCTCGGGGACGGAGGCAGCGATCCCTGCAGCGGGCACCGGCGCTCGGGCAGCCGCGATGGGGAGTCGGTGCCCGGCTCCGCAGGGGCGCTGTGCGGGGCGCGCTGCGGGGCTGTGACCGCGCAGCGGAGCCGGACGGCTGTAAGTGCTGAGCGCTGGGGCCGGACCCCCTGGTTCCCCGACCCCGCACCCCCCGGCTCCCCGCCCCGCACCCGCCCCCCCCGGGGCTCCCCGACCCTGCACCCCCCCGCTCCCCGACCCCGCACCCCCCCGCCCCTCACCCCTCTCGGCTCCCCGACCCCGCACCCCCCCGGCCCTCACCCCTCTCGGCTCCCCGACCCCGCACCCCCCGTACCCACCCCTCCAGCTCCCAGTCCCGCGCCCCCACCCGTCTCCTCCCCCCACGCCCCCTGGCTTGGCGCCGCGCAGCGGGCTGCGCCCAGACACAGCGGGGACGGCCGCTTTGTGCTCTCCTCGCGGGGGGACTGGAGCAGGCTCCCGCATTGCTGCCGCGGGGCCCAGCCGCCTCCCCGCAGCCCCTCCCTCATTCCCGGCCTCTGCTCCCCATCCCTCCCATGGCCCAGGTACCCGCTCCGGAGGGATAAGAACGGGATTCCCGGCCCGCCCCCGTTTACACGGTCACGGCCCCTCCGGTAAATTCTTGCTGTGGAAACCGAGCGCTTTGTTCTGCTCGGCAGTGCGAGACAATGGGGTGCGGAGCCTGGAAGGGGGGGTGCATGGAGGGGGCGGGGGTTGCACATGTGTGTCTGGAGGGGCAGCGGCTCCAGAGGGTCCCCGTGTCTGGCTTTGGCCACGCTCCGGGAACGTGTCAGGCCACTCGGGTGCTTTGGCTGTGCAGGCTGCGTGAGCAGAGAGGGTGTGGGAGAGACTGTGAGTGTGTGTTTGTGCACTAAATAGCTGTGAGGGTATAAAAGCTGTAAGTGTGTGTGAGACACTGTGTGTGCCAGCTGAGTGCATTGTGTGTGTGCGTGCCAACTGAGTGTATTGTGTGTGAGAGAGACATTGTGTGTGTGTGTGTGTGCGCCCACTGAGTGTATTGTGTGTGTGTGAGAGAGACATTGTGTGTGTGAGACAGAGAAAAACACAGTGTGTGTGTGCATGAGCCAACTGGGAGTGTATTGCGTGTGTGAGAGCGACACTGTATGTGTATGAGACACTGTGTGTGTGTGAGAGAGAGAGAAAGGATTGTGTGTGCGTGCGCCAGCTGGGAGTGTATTGCGTGCATGACAAGGCTGTGGTACACTATCTGAGAGGGTCTGGAGTGCGGGTGGGTGTTTATCTGGCTGCTCCAGGGCCAGCCTTTGCTCAAGGCATTTGCAGTCCCAGATTGCTGGTAAGGGAATGGGGGGTGGGGCAATGTACACAGTAATGGTAGGGAGATGGAGTCATGCTGCAGGCCAGGAGGAGCCAGGGAGGGGTGGGAAGGGGGAGCGGTGGAGAAGGGTCGGGGTGCAGGCCATGGGGGAGCCATGTAGGGACTGGAAGGAGGCGTGTAAGAGAGGGTGTCAGGGTACAGGCCATGGGGGAGCTGGGTAGCGGTTGGAAAGGGGAGCAGTGGATATGGGGTCATGCTGCAGAGCAGGAGGAGATGGACAGGGGTTGGAAGGGGAATTGGAGTATATGGGGCCGGGGTGCCAGCCGCGTGCCAGCTGGGTAGGGATTGGGAGGCAGAACCACTGCCAGTCATTGATGGGCTTTGTCTGGCTTTGAAGGCTAGGAGTTTAAAGTTGTGGGTACAGGGAGCCTACGTGAAGACTAGGGCTCAATATATTTTTATACATGTAGGGACCTCATAGACTTTAAGGCCAGGAGGGACCATCATGATCATCTAGTCGGTGGACAAGACCCACCAGGAGATTCCTGGAAAAGAATTCTCTGTAGTCACTCAGAGTCCTCTCTTTGCAGCCATCTTCGTTGCATGGTCATACCCTCTGTGCCACTCCCTTCACTGTCCTTCCAATAGGGGTAAGTGGTGCCCGATTCACCATTCCTAGTAGATGGCACTTTGAGTAAATCTACACTCGAGCTGGACACATAATTTCCAGCTCGGGTGGACACACCCACTCTAGCTCTAATCAAAATTCTAGCGTGCTAAGAATAGAAGTGGTGCAGTGATGGCACAAGCAGTAGGACAGGCTAGTCATCTGAAGCAGGATCCTGTCTGAAATCCTGTGTACATCTTCAGGGGGTTAGCCTGTCTTGCTGCAGCTATACTTCAGTTTTTAGCATGCTAGCTCAATCAGAGCTAGTGCGGATATGGCTACCCGGGCTGGAAATTACACTTCAGGTCCAGTGTAGATGTACCCCTAGACACGCCAGGAGACAGGAAATTCTGTAGCTGGATGGACAGTTGGATGTGCTCTCTGTTTTCCAGCTGTTTCCTTCCCCTGCTCATTAATAACCCCCTTCTCCTTCCCCTGGGCCTGTATCTCCCAGTACCTCTGATATGTCAGCCCTGTGCTGGGTATTGGAGGCCCCAGGACATGAGTGAAGCTGGAGGTGCTGTTGCTGGGGGGAACCCAGTGCATTTTAGTCCAGAACACAAACCTTGCTAAAGCCCCATCATCTCCCCTGCCTCTTTCCCTCTGCACCCCTCCCCAGCTCTGTGGTCTGGAATCCTGGTGTGGCGTGGTGGGGGGTGCTGCTGGCTAATGGCTTTCTGCAGGGTGGCTGAGTCTGCCATTGGTTTTATAGGGAGCTCAGTGCCTCGGGAAGGGAGGGGAGTGAGCAAGCGAGCAAGGCAGCCTGGCTCACATTACACAGGCAGGGCTTGGACCAGCCGCGCCAGCCCCTTGCACTGAGCTATCTGCTAATTGGAAGCAGCTGTTGGGATTTGGTGACTCTGCATCCACTGAGGTCACCGCAGCCTTCCCCACCGGCCTGAGCCTGTGAGGCTCCTCAGGATATGGGTCTGCCCGCGCCTTGAACAGCCTGCTCCCAACCTCTACCAAGGACAAGCAGGGAGATCCAGCAGCCAAGCCTCCTGGTGGGGGAAGGGGGAACAGGCCTGAACCTCCCAGTCCCCAACCCTACCAGGGCAAACATGACGAGTCTGCACATGCTCCACGCACACCAGCTGTCCTCAATACCCCTCAGCTTCATTCCTTCCCCAGTCACCCTGCAAATTCACCCAGCGTCTTCCTAGCTTTGCTGCCCTCCTGGCGCTAATGGGATTTGCTCTCCTGTGCAAACCCAGCCCTTTCAGCAGGGTAGTTCATGGCACACATGGATAACGAGTTTATCCATGTCTCCTTTGGGAAATATGGAGTTTAGTTTAGGTTAAGTATCAGAGGGGTAGCCGTGTTAGTCTGGATCTGTAAAAAGCAACAGAGAAAGCCTGAGCACCTTTAAGACTAACAGATGTATTGGAGCATAAGCTTTCGTGGGTGAATGCCCACTTCGTCGGATGCATGTCAGCTTATGCTCCAATACATCTGTTAGTCTTAAAGGTGCCGCAGGACTCTCTGTAGTTTAGGTTAGTTTACCTACTTCTGTTTATATCACAACAGCATTGAGCCTTGGTCCCTCTGTCACTCTCCAGCTCCCGCTCTCTCCTTTGACTTCCATGGGACAGACCCCCTGCTCCCCACCTGCCTAGCCTCAGCCAAGGGCCTAAACCCGATATGCCCCCCTCCCATTGTCCTTAGCCTGACTCAGCATGGCCCCAGCAAGCCAAGGTTGGGTCACTAGAGACTTATTGCAGGCCAAGGGCCTAGCCTGTCTCAACTGCCAGAAACTGTTGCCCCATCCACACACACAGCCCACTGAACCACCCCCAATCTGGGTAAGTATCATTATCACCGCTTTAGCAGGGGGAAGTGAAGTGATTTTTCAAGGCCAGTCAGTGACTCAGTGGCATAAGTCCAACTTGAAGCCAGTGCCAGGATATGAGTAAGTCCCACTGACTTCGTGTATCCTGTTGGGAGACGATCGAGCCCCAGGAGCCAGGACCTTAGAGCAGTGGTTACTAAACCATGGTCCATAGAGAAGCATGGGGTCCTGAGGCACCAGCTGCTCCTCTATGTGTCCAGATGTTAATCTGCATTTAAAGAAACTACATGTATAGGAAATGTTCATCTAAGATCACTTTCCATGTTAGCAATTGTTGCAGCTTACAGGGAAGATCTTTGTACTAGGACAGTTCCACTTCTGGAGCTGGGAATAGAACCCAGGAGTCCTGACTCTCTCTGCCCCTGGAAAGGCTTAATACTGCTATGGGGTGCTTCAGCCAGTCCAGTCACATCCATCTCCCCAATCACACACTATAGTAGGGTGCTTTATCTCCAGCTGGAAGCCAGCAGCCCCCATCTCCATCCCTGAACGCAAGGAAGTTCCTGCCGCCCCATGTCTGACATGAGCAGCTCCTGAGTGTGGTTATGGGACCAACAGCAAATGCTTTCAAGAGAGTCCAAGTATGAGCTCATGCTGACGCCATCCCTGCAGACCACTAAGCCCTGCTTTACCAGGGGCTAAGAGCAGCACTGGGGTTTGTGCGCCTTGATGAGCTTCCTGACTGCTAAGTCGTTCTGCCTGCTCCTGTGGAGCGTGAGCAATGCCCAGGGGGCCAGGCAGCCTTCAGGCTGTAGGTGTTAGCAGCATCACATCCCCTCCTCCCCTGCCCATCCCTCTCCCACTGTTGCAGTGAGCTGAAGCTACAGTAGGGGGAGTGAAGGGGATGGAGCAAAGGAGCCAGAGAGCCAAGAAGCAGGGAGAAGGAGACAAAGGAGGAGTGCAAGCGGCAGAGGGTGTGTGGAACAGGGAGAAAATGCACGGAAAGCCAGAGCAGCTGTGGGGATCACAGACGGCTGCCACATTCCCACTGTGCTGTAACCATCCTGGCACGGTGTCCACTCAGGGGCATCCCAAATCTGTGCCAGGCTAAAATGATGGGCCACTTCTGCTCCAGAGGGAACAGGTTTTAAGCTGGGCAATCTCTAAATGGTAGATGTCTGCTGGGTGGTAGAGCCCTGCTGATTTATTGGCCACTGGGGCATGAGCCTCCATCCAGCTCTGCTGCACACTGGCACCTTCCAGTTGATACCAGGTTTGGATCCCCCATTTTTCACACCTAATCCCCTTTTTCCCCCAGGGGAGTGCCCTGAGAGGGCCTGTCAACATCTCTCCCAGGCTGATACCATGTGCTCCCCAGGTCATTGGCATGTGAGAGCCGAGGGACCAAACCTGGTAATGATGACATTGCTTAGTGCCCTGCCAAGCTGCAGTCCTGGGCACCAGCCCCTCTGGAACCCTTCAAGAGCCTAGGACAGACCCAGCCTCACAGAGCTGACCCATCTATATTCATTTACAGAGGGGGAAATTGAGACACAGACAAGGGAAAAGCCTGCTCAAGGTCAGGGTCAGCGCTCGGAATAGAACCCAGGAGTCCAGACCAGCATTCAGCGTCTTAGTGACCCTGCTGCAGAGCCGCTTGCCTGTTGCCATCAGGAATTGTGGGGCCATGAGGGATGGCTCTCGGGAAGAGCACAATCTGCAATGGGAATGGTCAGTTATAGTGTACAGTACAAGCCTGAACTTCTTGTTAGCTCTATAGCCTGCCTGGAGATGGACATGCAGCCCCAGAGGGAGCCCCAGGCCTTCTCCTCAGGCACCAGCAAATGCTTCTGCTCCTCTGTGTTGCCCTGGTTTTACTCTTTCTCCTCTGAGTCTAATTTTACCCAACGACCTCTTTGTCTCATAGTCTCCCCGCTAGAGGGAAAGGAATCAGATCAAGAAGGCTGGGGTTACCTGGCAGAGCTCCCCTCCCCCTTATGCTTTTTCTGTCCTTTGCTTGCTGCTCCCCTCCTGACCAGCCTCCTCTGATCTGCATTCCTTGCAGGATTAAGGAGCACACACTGAAAAGGAGACCGAGCCAACCTTCACCTCCGTCCCCACGGCCTCGGGGAGTTGTTAGCGATGGGGTGCCTGGAAAGGTCAACCCAGCTGCTGCTGCAGCTGCTGCTACTTGGGGGCCTGAGGCCAGGGCAGGGCTCTACTGTGCTGGGCACCCTGGATTTACAGATAGATGAGGAGCAGCCAGCTGGCACCATCATCGGGGACATCAGTGCTGGACTGCCCCCCAGCACCACTGCCTACATGTACTTCATCTCCGCGCAGGAGGGCAGCGGTGTCACCACGGACCTGGAGATAGATGAGAACACAGGCATCATCAAAACAGCCCGTGTGCTGGACCGAGAGAGCCGGGACCGCTACAGCTTCATTGCTGTCACCCCTGAGGGCATCACAGTGGAAGTGAATGTCCAGGTGAATGACATCAATGACCATGCACCAGTATTCCCCAAGCACCACCACACCTTTCAAATCCCAGAGCACACCCACATTGGCAGCAGGTTCCCCCTGGACCCAGCCTTCGATGCTGACAGTGGCCTGCTGAACACCCAGGGTTATGTGCTCAAAGGGGAGAATGTGGGCCAAGCCTTCCGCCTGGAGACACGCAGGGGCCCCAATGGGGTCCTGTACTTGAACCTGGTGGTCAGCAACGTCCTGGACCGGGAGAACTGCTCATCGTACTCCCTGCTGCTGGAGGCCTATGATGGCGGCTCCCCTCCCCGGAGCACTCAGATGACTTTGGATGTGGCCATACAGGACATCAACGACAATGCACCTGCCTTCAACCAGAGCCGCTACCACACCCTCATCTCCGAGAACCTGAAACCAGGCAGCAGCATCCTGCAGGTCTTTGCCTCCGATGCAGATGAGGGTGACAACGGGGCTGTGGTGTATGAGATCAACCGTCGGCAGAGTGACCCTGATCAGTACTTCACCATTGACTCCAGGACGGGTGTCATCAAGCTCAACAAGGGGCTGGACTATGAGATGAGGAAGGTGCATGAGCTGGTGGTGCAGGCACGGGACAAGGCCATGCACCCAGAGGTCACCACAGCCTTTGTCACCATCCACGTGCGCGACTACAATGACAACCAGCCCACCATGACCATCATCTTCCTGAGCGAGGATGGCTCACCACAGATCTCCGAGGGTGCCCAGCCTGGCCAGTATGTGGCACGCATCTCTGTCTCGGACCCCGACTATGGTGAGTACTCCAATGTCAATGTCTCCCTGGAGGGGGGAGACGGCAAATTTGCCCTCACCACCAAGGACAATATCATCTACTTGATCTGTGTGGACCAGCTGCTGGATCGGGAGGAGAGAGACTCCTATGACCTGCGGGTGACGGCCACTGACTCAGGGACCCCTCCGCTGCGGGCAGAGTCGGCCTTTGTGCTGAAGGTGATGGATGTCAATGACAACCCACCACTCTTTGACCAGCAGGAATACAAGCAGAGCATCCCCGAGGTGGTGTACCCAGGCAGCTTTGTCCTGCAGGTGACAGCCCGTGACAAGGACCAAGGTCCCAATGGGGAGGTACGGTACAGCATCCTACACAGCCAGGACACCCACTCCAACTGGTTCACCATCGACCCAGCCACAGGCATCATCACCACCGCTGCCTCCCTGGATTATGAGAAGGACCCCCAGCCCCAGCTGACAGTGCTGGCCATGGACAGAGGGACACCTGTCCTCTCCTCCACGGCCGTGGTGCATGTGGCCCTACAGGACGTCAACGATAATGAGCCTGTGTTCAGGAGCAACTTCTACAATGTATCCCTGAAGGAGAACACACCCGCTGGGACCTGCTTCCTACAGGTGGGGGGACAGCCGGACAGATGGGGGACACCCTGGGATGCAGGGTGGGGATGGCCGGGCTGGGGGGTGGCCAGGCAGGGGAAGAGGCTTGGAGTGGAAGGTAGCCAGGCAGGTGGAGGGGTGAGGGTGGCCAGGCATGGGAAGAGGCGTGGGGTGGAGGGCGGGAGGTGGCCAGGCAGGGGGAAGGGCCCAGGGTTCAGAGCAGTCGGATAGTCAGGCAGGAAAAGTGATCAAGGCCAGTGGTGAGGGATATTATACGTGGGCAGAGGAAGGAGCGTGGAGGGCAGAGGAGATGGGGGGCAATGGGAGAGGAATCAGGGCCTGGGGTGGATGAGTGGGGGGAGCTGACCTGGAAGGGGAAGGGGTCAGGGACTAGTAGGTGTATGGGTCAGAGTGGAGTCTCTCTCTCCCCCCCCCTTGTGTGGCGTTAGGCAGCAGGGCCTGGGGTGGAGTAGTATTTTCGTATTACAATGGCATTTAGAGCCTGTGACTGAGATCAGGGCCCCCCTGGTGCTGGACTGAGATTTGATTTCTATGAAAGTGTGTGATTTAGTGGCTTTGAGATACATGGAGCTTCTTCAATCTGTCAAAGTTGGTCTGTTCAGAGCTGGGAAAGGAACCCAGGAATCCAGACTCTCAGTCCCCTGCCCTCATCACTCAACAGTGGATCCTCCCTAATAATAACCTAGGAGCCAGCATCAATGCTCAGTACTGTCCAAATCCCGCACAAACCCCTGGGATGCTGCCAGAGACAGCGCATGCTGGGGACGGGACTCTGCTGCTTTGTGTGCCCGTAGCCAGCTGGGAGAGAAATGAGAGGTCTGGGGTGAAGGGTGGATGAGATCTGCAGGTGCAGTCTGGGATGAGAAATGCAGGGGGGCTGCTCCGGGGTCAGGAGCAGAGATGGGCAGAGGGAAGGGATTTGCTCCATAACATGGCAAGTCCATGGAGGGGGAAATACCTGAGAAACCAGTGTGGGGGGTGACTGTCTGACGTGAGCAAGGGGTAAGGGGTGGCGCTGCGGGAAAGTTGAGTTATTGGGGGCAGGAGGTGACTGAGGCAGTGGGGTGAAGGTGAGCGGAGGGGG